TACTGGAAAAACAGCTATGACGTCACACAAATGCTAAATGCAAATAAAATTGTAAACATAAAATCTCCACTGCCTACCAAGCAGAACTAAATTTTGATATCCCTGTTTCACAAAATACCTCATCATGCCCTGACTTCTACCTGTATTTGCATAATGATGCTGCCCGTATAATCACAGAGTACTTGATCTTGTGTACTAATAGATAATGTATGACGTCACCGACTTTTTCGACGCCCATTATAGGGAAGCAGAGGAGTGGATCAATCTATTTCATAATTTGTTAATATTTATATGAACATTAAAACTTTTAAATATTTTTATGTAAGACGCTGATTGTTAGAAATTTACCTTTACTGATTACTTTAATAATCTATACTTATAAATTAATAAATTTTGCAAATGAACTCCGAAACGGGTGCACCAGTGTTTTTACTTACTCCTCTAAGAATACACTAGCTAACAGATGATGTCCATAAACTATGTTTAGATTTCACTCGCATAGTAAGTATCGTACATTAAATCAGAAGTCTACTTTCATTTTCTATAAACAGCCATGAAATAGCAAAAACGTGAGGATGGTGGCGGTTCCAGTTGGCGGATCTAATTTACTGGCAATTTTTAATGAAACTGACAACAAGCAATCGTTGATTTATCTCATAATTCGTCATCACTGAATTATTCAGTGAAAACTTGATTTAAATGACATAAATGAAATAAGTTAGGATAACCCATTAAAAAGGGAAATGTGCAAATTATTTTTGTTATTTACCGATCTTAATATTGACGTAAGCTTCTAGAACATCATATAGCATCGAGCCCGATGTTAATAAGAAAAACGAGGCGATTATAGCTGCCTGAGCATAAAAAAAGCTTTTGTGTGAATGGTCATTGAAATAATGGTAAATCATTGATAACACGATAAGTTGTGAATATATTTATAAAGACTATTAGTAGGTTAGGTTTCCCTTATAAATTTATCAGTAAAATTTGTATAATCCTCACTGAGAGCATCGTGGCAACTTCGTAATAAACTAGCTTACATGAAAAGAGAAAATTAATGAATAAGGTGTTGTTCGAATACAAATAAAGCTGTAAAATTGTGTGCTTTAATCAATACATTTCAGTTTTTTATTCTGAATACAGTCTTTTTTATCAAATACTCGGTCTATTCATAGGGCTTAAAAAGCTAATTTTTAACCCCCCCCCCCCCCCCCCACAAAAAAAATTAGTTTATCCGTAAAATGTGCATTTTCGCTGCTTTTATCCTTGACGGAAATGAAAACAGAGCACCTGCAGTACAATATCCATAAATTAGTAAAACAGGTTTCACAATAAGTTACGTCAATTGATGTTATTGTTCAATTTTTTTTTTTTTTTTTTTTTTTTTTTTTTTTTTTTTTTTTTACAAAAAAAGGGGGGTTGGGTTGGAGATGTACATTAACTTCCTCCGGGATTTTGAACAAAGTATTTCTTCCTGCTATAAGCCTGTAGGCTGTCAGTAGAAACTACAATATATATTACTGGAATTTTTCTGTCAGTATTGGTATAAATTCAATTCTCTGCGCTTGCGCGGGGTTTCAACTAGTGTTTTTTATGTATACATTATCAGAAATTATGACGTAGTCAAATTAAGTCACGTGACTACGTGTCTACCCTTAAAGGTATATTTCCTTATCGATTTTGCATGTAACAGAGCATCATGCCATGTACCGATGGTTTTACTTTATTTATAACGTATCTGGGCGTATTGTATGGCAAAAAATCAAGACATATGCATAATATAAATATATTATGATTAAGAACCATTATTTGACAATAATCCTACCTAAGCTATGAAAGAACAGTTAAATGAATGAAACATTTTTGAAATTTTTTAGTTGTCTTCATTGGAACATTTATTTTAACATAATTGATCTACTTAATATTAAAGAATCCGACATAGGGGTTGCTAATTTCATTTTAGTGTAGTTGCATGTTTCATTACATGATTTCCAATAAAAGCCAACAGGACATTCTTGTGCTCAATACTCTCCATAGATTTCTTCACACTCTGTTGAAATATTGTTTTCATCTTGTAAGTAAATTTTCATTTCCATTTCCATGGAGAATGATTTAAAAGATGATAGCAATTCATTTCGAAATCATCCAGATTATATTACCCTCAAATAAATAAATGGCTTTCATTAAAAAAAAAAAAAAAAAAAAACAAAAAAAAAAACAAACAAAAAAAAAAAAAAAAACTCGTTACATAATTTTACAAAAATGTCCCGACAAAAAAAAGAAAAGAATATTTAAGAGGAAGAAAAATATGTTTTTAAGAATTGTCCTTTAAACGAGATAACTGATAAGACAGTGAAATGGAAAACAAGTTTAAATAACAATTTCCCACATGACGTAAACAACATCGTTTGCATAATCAATTTGTTAGTTTTAATTAGTTTTCTTTTATCTTACCAATGCATTGATCGTCAATTAGTCTGGAAATCAAAAACAAATGTTTAAGGATTAAAAAAATTAAATTGGTTATTATGCATTAAGAAACTTAATAAAGCAATATTACTTTTAGTAAAAGTCGCTCATCTTTCCATTATTTTTCTCTATAACACTGAGTATTGAATATATTCAATAATCGAAATGTAAAATAACCTTGCATAATTTTTTTATATAATTAATTTTATATATTTTACACCAAATTTACTAAGGAAGAAAAACATACATTTTCATATTTCCAAATCAAAAATTATTTTTCCAGTGATTTTCTTTCAAAACGGTCTCAGTTATGATATCCTAAACCTATAATGGACAGATTTTAAGGAATCTTATGAAAATTAGGTTCCTTACTGTGTAACCATTGGCATCAAACAAATTTTACTCTATTCCCTACTCCACAGTCCAAGATGATGTTAGATTTGCACTTGTCTATAATTTGGTTAGTTAAATGGAGAACAATGCTTAGAATCTCGAATCATTTCAATTTGCAAAAAAGTAACTAAACTCCTTAAATAAAAAAGTATAAGATGCATGTAGAATTTAAATTCACATTCTTTCATAATTGCTAGAAGGATATCAGTTAAAACAATAACAGAAGAGGAAATTAATGGAAAGTACTTATATTTTAGTAGGTTTGGAAAGTTACATTGTATTACTCATGTTCTCAATGCTTACACAGTCGATTGCACCTCAAACAGTATTTGTCTGAGATAATGAATATTTCATAGAAAGAAAGCTGACTATTCAGGTTTCCCTCGTCGCTAACACCCATTGTAATTTTTGGCGCGAGAATGACAAGTTACAAACGGTCATTTCGCAAATATTAACTGCTTATGGTTAAAAATATCAAATTTCACTTCAAAATATTTTAATTTGATAAATTTCCCAGGGCTCTAATTGGCGACAAATTTTGCACCATGGCGCCCAGAATTTTTCATTTGTCTCCAAATTGGCGACCATTTTAATTTGACTTGGCAATCGTCGAATTCTGGAAATTTTAATATTTTAACAATTTTTATGAAAAAGCGAAAAGAAATTTAAAAGAAGAGGGAATTATTTTTAGCAATGGACATGTCATGTTTTCTTAATCACACTATGGGTCCCAATATTGATTACTATTAATATTTGAAGTTGGCGCCTTAGAGAAAAACTGCCTGGCGACCACAAATTTGCATTGGCGACAAAAATTTTTTTGATAAGAAGCCAGATAGCTGGCGCCTAAATTTTAAAGGTCCCTTGGAGGCCTGCTTTCTTCTGTCACTTTTCCTTCTGAGGAATTTATTTATCCACTTTCGTTTTCTATGACTTGCACTTGCGCCTGTTCAAATCTGGTTCATTAAATTGTAAATACTGTGGGAAAAACCATGCATATATCACGAATAGAATAATCATCGTTTTATTGTATTTACCTAGTAAGACATTTTTAAACACGTCACTATGTTTTTCAAGAACATTTACACTGTGGTTTAATTTAAAATCATATATTTGATACTGGCACATATACAATGTGCTAGGTTTGAAATTTGTAATCGTGATCTAGCCTATAGTAAGAAAATATTATTTTTGCACCAGATGCGCATTTCGACCAATTATGTCTCTTCAATGATGCTCATGCCGAAAGGTTGGAAATCCAAAATATTTAAATAAAAAAAAATGAAAAGCTGACATTTGTCCAATTTTAAGTTCTTCAAACAAACTATCAATATAACACTTTATATATCTAAATGAGTTTTTGAACAGGCATCTTGGAATGCAGCGTATTGTGTGGAGAAATATAATTGTACGTTTAAACAGAAAAAAAAAGAAGTTTTAATCAGTTTTTCTAATATCGACATGAATATCCATGGTAAACCTCTATTGTATGAAAAGTTGCATTGTTCGCAATACATTGGATCATAAAACATCTTAAGCTTAAGTAAAAATGTATGTTGCGCTGAAATGATTTAGAAATGTAGCAGTATAAAATGAAAATGCTTTTTCATTTTGCATCTATAAACTGGTGTTGCATGCAAATTAAGAGTTTGGATTCACAAGTAATAAATATTTTATGGATGACTGAAATTTTGACTTAAGTTTAAGTCTGTTTCAGGATCCCAGGGCCAGGTAAGAAAAGGCGTTGCTTATTTTCTTGGGCTTTGACCTTACAAAAGATGTTTGAAACCTCTTTTAGTTGGAAATACACAGTCTATTGTTTCTAATACTGCATGCATACATATACTATATTTCAGATAGGATAAAGATACATGTATAGAGTATGTATATGATCCCTATCCCATTTTTTATGGCCCATAGAAATACATATTACAATTAAGTGCAAGCTCAACATAAATATGCACCCGTTTTCTATGCATATCATTGTCATTTAAAGTGCAAATTTCAATAGAACGGCACTAAAACAAATTTGACTTATTGCCACGATAACGTATGATTTGCAATGGGTGGTTTTCCCTTCCTGAGCTCAAAAACACAAAAAAAGTCAATATTTGTAATTTCATTTTCTATTGATTGATTGTATGTTGTTTTACGTAAAATATATGGAGATAACGAACAGTATTCACGCTCAAAAGTCCATTAAACAATACAAAATAGGAGCAGAGCAAACACGGACCTCCAAACATTAGAGGTGGGATCAGGTGCCATTGAGGAGTGAGCATCCCCTGCCGACGTCCCATTCGAGAATTTTAATTTTTTTAAAATGCGTCTGAAAGCAGACTAAAAATTACACGGTTAATAATTTATCGGACAAGTAATGATATTTGGCTTTTGAGAATTGCTCTTACCTCATATTCCGATATAATTGTACACTCTAGTTCTGTAGTTTAGGCACGTGTCAAATTAAAAGATTCGAGATTGTTTACAAGTACGACCCTTGGATTCCCGGAAGATTCTTATTATGTGAATTGGGTATGAGACGAGGATATTCATGTTTCTAAAACTGTCGACATCAACTTTTTACATTATTTTTAAAGATGTATTTTGCAGCTGCACTGTCTCTTTAATGTTATATTAAAAATGTACATACTGATTTGCTCTAAAATTCTTCTTTCTGCCATAAAATCTCTTACTGAAGTGTTTGCTATAAATGCTCATTTAGAGCAGCTTTCTCTGACATATTTTGAATAAAGCCATCGTAATAGTTGCTAAAGATATCGTTATATGGTTTAGAAGTGACCGCTTTTAAATCAGAGCAGGACTTTGATATTCTTCGTAGACGTTTGCCATTCTGGGAAATACTGATGTAACAATCGTCACCAGGAAACTCGGACAGGGTGACTAGAACACTGTCTCTTTGAAAACGTGCGTCAACAGAGTCGTATTCTTTGCCTTCTTCATGATTCGGTTTCTTCTTTGATATACTCTGGTTGTTGAACAACTGATTGTACTCTGTAGAATTTATTCTGTATTCTCCGGTCTCACGTTCTTCGTTTTTCTTGCCATCAAGGATAATTTTGGATTCCTGGACATCGTCGTACATGTACATGTAGGTTTCGGAAAATATTTCTTGTTTACCAGGAAATGAGAGCAAGTTCACTCGAAACCCTGTAAATACATAAGGAAAAGCGCATGTTCTTTAAATGTCTTTTAATTTAATTAAAAATATACACCTACAATTGTAAAGATCTATAATTATTATGTCTTACCCCTTGTGTTATCTTCACCGATTTTAAATCTTCTCTGCAAATGTATCCGCCTAGAATGATAATCCAGATTAACAATTATTGACATTGACGATGTAGTAAACTCGGAAGACAATAAACATTCTTCTGGTAAATAGTGAAAACTGTGCCTTGTTCCTCTTATACACTGGTGTTTGTTACATATAAAATAAAAAAAAAGATAAAATGATTACTTTTATCGAGGAGGACACTAAACTCAATTTGATAGAAATTTGCACAACCAAATTTCCACTTTAAAGCTGTGCACTTTTTCAGCCTTAAGGACATACGCAACGTACCTTACCTACTGATAATTTTTCAAGATATTCTTAATTTAAGATTATAGTGCCATCAGATGCTCGTAGACAAAAAATCAGCATGTATTATCTGGGGTTTTGAAAAGATGTCAATTGATGAAAATTCTTGTATAATTCAAAGAAAAATATACAAAAATTACTAAACATATATTCTAGATGTTTTTTTTTTATCCAAACTTGTTTTAGAAGAAGTGTACAACAGCATATATAGACATTAAAATGTAGCACACATTTCCTTGAAGTGTTGGAACTCTTGAACTCCAGGAAAAAGACAATAAAGTTCAAACTACGTTGCGTATGTCCTTAATAAAAGTTCACCTCAGTAGAATTGCAGTAAAGAAAGTAATAAAAACAATGTTTGAGAAAGAATTCAAAACTAAATTGATTCTTACCATTTACAAAACATAATACCAACAAAGACCAGAGAAGCTGACAGAGTAACGGATCCAAGTCCAATCACTAGAACCAGAACAACTCTGTCACCGCTGCATTCCCTTTCTTCTACATCATGTACATTGATTGCTATAAATGTCGTAAATACTTATACATATGTATTACATACCTTTCTTTATGTATAAAACTTTCTGAACCAAGACTTTGTGTGGAATAAGTTTGTTTTACATTCTACCGATGATTGAAGTTATTTCGGTTTATGATTTTCTATCCAAGCTTACGCGAAATGTTGATTCCATGTGCATGATTTTTTCATTGACACTGACGAAGCAGATAAGCTCTTCTTTATATTAATTTAAATTAGGTGCTTGCATGTGTTTCATATTTCAACCGTCAATTTCTGAGTTCATTTTAAATACCTTACATATTACGATTTTGTTTATAATAGCAATTCTAAATTAAAAAGAAATGTTTCATTTAAAACAAAAATCAAAGAAACACCATTCACCATTCTGTTGACATCCCAAGTATTTATTGCAAACTTGGTACTTTGTACAGAAACAAGTTTCTTTACATCTGTAGCCGTAGAAATTCTCTCTACATGGCGTGTTGCAGTTTTCTCCATATGCTCCGAAACATTCTAAAGAATTTAAAGAATTATTCTTTAGTTTTTACAGATTAGGAGAAAAGCTTAAAATTTGTTTCAGTATTATGTGTGAAAAAGAATAAACCCAAAATTTATTTTGATGTTACATACTTGTTTTAGAATAATGTAATTAGCATATGTTACGTACCAATACAACTCCCATTAAACAAATAAAAACCAGAACAGCATATCAAGGTACCACTAGATAAATAAAAAGTAAATTTATCATTTGTTTCTCACAAAAATCCGTACCATAATGTTTTCAAAACGATATTATAATAAACAAAATGATTTTCAACACAGTATAAATATAATGAGAAATAAGTAAAGATTAAATAAAGCCAGCTTACTCCTTGTGTGAACACGCGTTTTTGTCTGTTTGTGCGCTTATTTCCCCCTGGAAGTGATAAATAAGTATCAATATAAGGTTGAATATCATGATAGGATTCTTCAAATATGTGTTTTCTGAATGAAGTTAATGATATATATAAACAGGTTAATATACACGTTAAATTCTACTTCCCTGAATGACGAAGGCAGAATATTTATTTCCTCATCGATAGGATGTGAGTTTTGAAAAGTTCTTTTTTTTAACAAGCACTTTTGATTTAAACATGTGCCGAAGAATTATAATTTTTCAAAAACTAAAATTTCACATAAACAAAATATACAACAACAAAATATTGTTTTTATCAAATCAAAAAATTCCTATATCGACAAACGTGCAATTTTCATTTTTATCTAACAACATTTAGTTACCTATATATTTCTAGGTTTTCTTATATAGCAGAAAATAGAATGCACTTGTGGATGACTATAATTATTATTACTACACAAATGATAAAGATATACAATGTCATGCCAAAAGTATTTCACGTTATCATAACGTGAATCTTGCTAAGTACTACAGTTCAATGTTACAAAAAAATCCACTTACCTTACTATATATGAATGCAGACTTCTGACTTTTTTGTACTTGGTGGCATGACCTTTAGCTCTAATTACAGCATATAGTCTGTTGGGTAAGATTTCGTATTAACCCTGTATATATGCTGGGGTGAGGGACGTCCCGATCTGCAGTACACAGTCAACAAGTTCTTGTTTTGATGTTATGTTGCTCCCTTGAAAGTTTAATTTTAATTGATTTCTATACATTTTCTATGAGATCTAGGTCTGGTGATTGAGATGGCCAGTCTAAACAAGGGATATTATTTTGTTCTTTCCATGCTCTAGCACTAGATGACATGTGGGAAGAACAATTATCGTCTTGAAACATCCAGGGGTTGTTATTGAAGCTTTGGCAACAACCTGCCACAAATTATTGTCCAGAAATGTAATGTACTTATCTGTGTTTCAATTTCCATCTACTGGTGTAAGTAAGCCTACTCCTAAATAGCAGATACAGTCAGAACCAAACAGGCGGACTCCATCATTACGGACTGAACGTAATTCAAGGCACTCCGGTCTCCATTTTTCATCTGCCTTTCTCCAGACATAAACTTTACGGTCTGTCCCTAACATGATTTTGGTTTCATCAGAAAATATAACTGTTTTCCACGTGTTACCGGTGTTCAATGGACTGGCTCCTGAAGAAAAAGGAGAAGATGACACACATGTAGTGGCAATGGCGGATTTTTTAAACTTTTATCTAATATATAATCATGTCTACCAAATGATAAGCAAGACATACTCAGGCCATAAATAAAGCCTTATATTCCAAGCCATACCAACATTTATAATTATATCAGTAACCTGAGAACACAAATGGTATAATTTCCTAAACATGAATTTGGTTTCATTTATCAACTGACAATAACTAATAGACTTTAAATATGAACTGACTAGAATTCAGTAAAAATAGATTTTACTAATACTTTCAAAGGGTATAACATACTGACTTATTGTGACACAATGCAACTAAAACTTATGACTAGATATGGCTTTCCTTACAACGAAATTATAATAAAATAGCATAACTAAACATGATCAATGTTGTAGTTATAATTTCTAACCAATATGTTTAATCTTGCTAAGCAGAAACTGGATTACTTAGTAAAACAACCTAACTTTACCCGAACTCACATGTAAACAATGGACGCAGCCATTACACTTGAGACATGCTAGGATACACAAACTAGGTCAACCTTACTCGATAATCAGATAGATATACAACATGTTTTATCTCCATGACACTAAATACTACCAATTAAACTATATTCTCTATAGCCTTATGACTTAAGAAATGTTCATTCGAAGACAATATAAACAAGTAAATACACAAGAATCTATAATGCGTGAGAACACGTGTGCACCCACATGGTAGCTACTGTTTACCTGCTCTACCTACTCGCTTTGAAGCCTATAGCATCAATTCACATATTTAGCATCCTCATATCAAGTCACAACATGTTCCTAGCCTTAATATCTAACTTGTTCATAATACACAGAGTGTAAAAAATTGTAAATAATAGTGTATTACCTGAAGAAAAAGGAGAAGATGACACACTTGTAGTGGCAATGGCGGATTTGTTAAACTTGGGGACTCGTCAATTCCGGTCAAAGGAGTAAAAATATAAACAGAGTTATCCCGCTTTCCCCAAAATAAAAATCCACCCTTTCCTATTTCGTACCGCTAAACACTCTCCCCCTCAAAAAAATTTGTCGACAAGACAAATATACTCTAACTGAACAAGTAAAAAAAATACATATATAGATTACATGTATAACACCTAGCATAATGATAAAAAGGACACTGGGTATGCATTAACACATATGAGTATCAAGTAAAAGTTACAAAATTTGAGAACAATTCAGGTAAAAATTAAGAAATTAATTCTACAAGTAGTTGGCCACCTACATGTTCATACTCAAGAGCCATGTGCTCTGCAAGGTTCACAAAAGGGTCTAAAAACCACTCTACTTTTACTCAAAGTCCTTTTATGTCACTATGACAATCCTCCTACCTCATAAAATACAAAAAAGTCAATTTAACTGTACAGAGTAAAGTTTAAAACAAAGTTATACAAAAACAACCCTTGTGGGGTAATACTGCAGTGACCATGCATATGATGAAGGAGCACCAATTGGTCATAAGTAAGTCTCATGGGTGGTCTCTGTAACCGTTGAGATTGTCTTGCTGGTCGATTGGCTTCAGATTCACTGTCATCTTGTGAATCATGCTGGGCTCCAGGCTCCATGTTATCCTGAGCAGCTTCTGCTTCGTGAATTGAACCATCAAGCATTTCCTGAACTGTCTCTTGCGCTCCTGATTCTGAGTTGTCATTTCCACTTAATGGTTCACAACTATGGAATACTGAGTGGGGTGAATTGTTCGATTCCTGTTCTTTTGTTTCTTAGCCCACATCAGGGGTAAACACTTTAGCATCTGGATTCAGGTCACTACGCAATACAAAATCGGTGCTGGAATGGGATTCGTTCGAGGATTCCTGACAGGGCTGTGGAGTTTGATGCTTTTCTCTTCGCTTAGTCCTAGTAATCTGTTCCTTCTTGAAAGGTGAAAGAAGATCATTGCACTGCATGAGCAGATTACAGTGTAGTCTTCGAATCTGGCCACTTCCATCCTCTGCCTGTACTTCATAGACTGGTGAAGTGTTATTCATTCTTCTTACTACGATGTGCACTTTATCCTCCCAGAATGATCTGAGTTTCCCTGGGCCACCCTTTTATTTTAGGTTCCGAATCAGCACTCGATCTCCCGGTTCTAGTATGGCACTCAAGAATTGGTTGTCATGCTGACGTTTACCCTTCCGTCCAGATATTCCTGCATTACGGGCTGCTATGTCATAAGCTTCACGCATACCTTCCTCCCACTGGCGTCGATACTCCTGATACGTCCGTGACTTCAGATGATCTTCTCCACTTGCATCACTAAAGATCAAGTCAATAGGGAGTCTTGGTTTCCGTCCAAAGAGGAGCTCAAACGGGGTATATCCAGTAACATCATTTCGAGTACAGTTATAGGCATGGACAATCTTATTCACATGTGACTTCCAATCTACTTTCTCCTTGTCTGGTAAGGTACGGAGCATACGGAGCAATGTTCGATTAAACCGTTCGACCTGACCATTTCCTTGTGGGTGGTAAGGGGTCCTACGTAAACGGCGTACTCCACTTAGTTTCTGAAGTTTGTAAAACAGTTCATTCTCGAACTCCCTCCTTTGGTCATGGTGAAGCTTGTGTAAGAAACCAAAGCGCATACTGAAGTCGTTGAAGATCTTTTCAGCAGCCGTCTTGCCTGATTTGTTTTGTGTGGCATATGCATGGGCAAACCGAGTAAAATGATCCATTACGACCAGAATATATTCATAACCACCCCTTGACTTTTCTAGATGCACCTAGTCAATTGAAACCATCTCAAAAGAAAAATGTGTCCTTATTGGCTGGAGTGGGGCTCTTTGTACTCTTTTGGGAGGTCTATCTTTCAAACAAGTACACTTGGATGTGACAAATGTATCAATGTCCTGAGCCATCCCAGGCCAATAAAACCGGGATCTTGCCATTTCCAATACGCGATCAGCACCAAGATGTCCCATTTTTACATGCAACTCTCGATACACATACTCATGTAATTCTCTTGGTAAGACAATCTGGTGCCGTCGTCCATCATAGGGTGAGTTGGTAACTCGTTTCAGGATACCATTATCATCTACTTGAAGCTTGTTCCATTCTCTGTAGATCTTCTGCGCATCCTTGTGGAAATGGACAGTTTCCCTTTAGGTAATTTCCGTCCTTCCTTCTTAGCCAGAAGAACTGGTCCAATAATTTGGTCATTCTCTTGGGGTTTGCGAATATCTTCTGCACGAAGAGGTATAATGGTCTGATCATTCGGCATCATCCCTTTTTCTGCTTCACTGCCTGCAGCCATAACATTGATCCGATGCAGGTCAGCCTTTTCCATAGCTAAGGTGCAGTTGACTGTTGTTTGTATTTCCTCAAATGAGATGTCATTTTGATACTCTTCAGTTTTCAGAGGCATCCGGCTCAACCCATCTGCATCCTGGTTGGTCCTTCCTGGTTTATATTTCACATCAAAACGGAGACCTGCCAATTCTGACACCCATCGAAATCGTGTAGCATCAAGTTTTGCTGTACTCATCAGATACTGCAATGGATTATTGTCACTATAAACAGTAAAGTTTGGAGCGTAAATTGGTAGTCTCTGAATCTCTCAGAAATGGCCCACTTCAGGGCTAAGAGTTCTAATTTCCCCGAGTGGTAATTCTTCTCTGCTGCAGAGAGAGTCCTGGATACATAGGTAACAACTGCTAACTTTCCATTTTCCTGTCGTTGGTATAAAACGGCACCCAGACCATCCAATGAGGCATCCACATGCAAAATGAAAGGGTTTGAAAAGATTGGATAGGCCATCACCTGTGGGGTAAGTAATGTTTCCACAATATCATCTGCAATCTTCTGATGTTTATTCGTCCATACAACCGTCTGTCCAGATGGTAGTTGTGTAGTGTTCTTCCCACCTTTCCCATGCTTAGATGATTTACCAGAGGTTTTGCCACAATTCTTTTGCAGTAAATCGTAAAGGGGTTTTGCCTGTCTTGCATAGTTCTGGATATATTTTCGATAATATTCCAAGAATCATGTTAGCTTGCTAACCTGCCCCACAGTCTTTGGTCGCTCCTCTTTAAGCTTAAGGATTCCTTCTTTGTCAGGAGGATCCATTTGATATCCCTCTCTTGACCCTCTGCAACCAAGATACCTGACTGATGTTCGAGAGAGTTCACACTTCCTTGGTTTGAGTTTCAATCCCTTCTCTTTCAGTCGTAGAAGAATGGCACGTAAATGCTGCAAGTGGTTGGTGAACGAATCACTATAAACAATTATATCATCTATGTAAGGTATAGAAAATTTGTCTCTTAAGTCCTCAAGTACATCATTCATAAACCTCTAGAAGGTGCCAGGGGCTCCTGTCAAACCGAATGGAATTCGGTTCCACTCGTATAAGCCCCACGGTGTAATGAAAACTATGAAAGGTTTACACTCATCCTTAACAATTCCTTGATGATAGGCCTTCCTTTGATCTAGAAATGAAAACCACTGGCTGCCGGCTAATCCATCCAGCGCATCTTGAATTCTAGGAATTGGTTCACCATGCTTCACAGTTTTCTGATTGAGCTTACGGTAGTCAATGCAGAGACGCAATGTTGAATCGCGCTTCCGGACACAAACCATCGGACTTGAGTATGGTGATTTGGATCTTGAAATGAAACCCTTTACTATTAAGTCATGCAGGTAGACCTTGACTTCCTGGTATAGAGGTCTTGGTACAGAATTTTATGAGGCTTGTATAGGCGTGTTGTCTGTGACCCCAATATCCAACTTTAGTTCAGGTGCAAATCCCCCATCATCATCATCCCTGGCAAATGCTGCACATTCCTCCCGAAGTAACTCCTTCACTCGAGACTTTTCTGTCTGCGACAGATGACCAGGAAGATTTACCGGAGGATCCCAGAATGACTCTCCAGTCGTGAGTTGCTTGTGGTCATCCGCTGCACAAGTTGGATCCACCTCAGCCATGTTGATAAGAGAAGTAATAGTTTGCAATATCACAATTTTGCATCACTTTGGTAGTACAATGTTACGGTCTGTCCGATTTGGGATGAGAACTTTAATGCGTTGAGCCGATCCCCTTGGAATTCTCACTAACATCTCAGGAATGAAGATCCCATGTGGTAGGTTATCCGTGTCAGGCTGAAATAGAACACATTGTCCTGTCTCTGGGGACTTCACCTTGAGCTGCAGTAATTTCTGTGCTCCTGAACATATCATCTCTGGCCTTTGTCCAATTCTCACATCACATAATCTGTCATCAATGTTATTACACAAAATGTTCACAGGTTTATACACACTCTCATCTGACAGTTCTGGAAAACTTGATTTTACATGAATACTGTTCTTTACATCAACACCTCCAGTGTGAATGTAATGCTCAATCACATTGTATCCTACGAGGGGTTTTTCTGCAGATACCATCCTTGAAGCCAAAAACGGAACAATCATCTCTGGGGCCTTCACTCCTATTGATAACCGACAATTCACATATCCATCAAAAGACATCAGGCTCCCTTTGGCTGCTGAAACTTTCAGTGGGATGTTCGGAAACTCACTAATAGGGTGAATTTCCTCCTGTGGAAAGTTCTCCTTCCAGCAGCCAGTATTGATCAGTGAAACTTGAGCAACAGTGTCCCATAGCACGGTCAAAGTCTTGTCATTAAGTGAGCACACAACATCACACTGGGAACCAACCAATCTGACGACCTTAGATGGCACATTATGAGCAGATCCGTTGATAATTTGGGACGCAACCTTACTGGGGTCCCTGCTGGTCCCGCTGCAGGGCCCCTGGCCCGTTTTCCGGCTTCGGAGAACTTTGGCGTCGGTTTGTTCGTGCTTGACGACATCCAGCTTTGAAATGTTCCGAACTTCCACAATGCCAGCAGTGGTTACATGCACTCACCCCCTTCTCTTGACACATTGGACATACACGGTTAGTGTTTCTCTGACGCCTAGGAGAAGGTATGTCTTTCTGGGTGGCATTCACCACTTGAGGTAGGGCTGCAATCTCTGCTTTCAATTCTCTTAACTCGCAATTGAAAGTACCCTCCTTCACAGTCTTTTCTTAGTATTTATAGGGGTCTCACGATCAGGACTGTTATAGTTTACACATGAAACTTTAGTGTTTTTCACAGTCTTCTGAATTTTTACTGCCCTTTCATCTTCCTTACTGGCAATGGTACATAGCCTCTGAATAATTTCTTCCTCGTCAACTTTTGCAGCATCCAAGAGTGGTTTCAGTTCAGCTCGTATAACCTCATTGCGAAGACCTGTGTACACTGTACGAATAAACATCCTGTTCACAAGTTTCTCTTCATATGTTACTTCCACTTCCTCCTCTTGGGATGAAAATAAGATTTTCTGTCTCACTTCCAAAGCACGAAGAAGAAATTCCTGGGCCTCCTCTGTAGAACCTTGGTCTAACTGGCCCAGCTGGTTGTATAGTTCAGTGGCTGACTTTCCCGATACTGGGCACGCAATATTTTCCGCAGTGATGATACCTTCAGCTCTGGATGTCCTTCTAAGTAATTACGAAGGCCCGATCCTGTTGCATCTGCCCGAATAACACCATCAACAATCTCCACTTCACTATAACCCTTCTTCACACCACTGTCTATCTGTCTAGCTAAACTAACGAATGCCAGTCCCTTCT